TAGACGGAAATGAAACGAATCCAATTTGGGTTCCGTTTGTGTTTGCCCACAGATTTAAAAATGCTCGGGTTCACCAAAACATTGATACTTTGTTACTTTGTTTGTTTATTTGTTTGAGAACACTCTTCCACATACAAATGTGTTCAAAAGCCTGCCGAAACGAGTCGCTTTGTGGTTTCGAAAGTTTTATAAGGTTGTGTTCGCTTTGTTAACTCGCCTCATGGGAAAATTCTATTTCTTACCGAACAATAAAAATCGGACCGCATATTGTTTGGTCAATCTGCTATTTTCACCATATTTATTCTGTTGCAAATACGAAAAGCATCCAAATAAAATCCAAATGAAAATAGAATACAAATAAACAATAAAATAAAATTAAATTGCAAAATTGCACAAAAGAGTTTTTATAGCGGCAAATTTTTCACATAAAAACCTAGATAAAAACTTTCAAGATTGTTTCGATTGAAATTGAAGCTGATGCTCAGACCCATTCGACACTTTTTTCATTCAAATATTCACACGACATCTTGTTTCATATGGCTTGAACATCATAAAAAAACTACGCAATTTATGATTTTATGACATATTAACCCGTGAGTTAATACATTTTCCAAAAATCAATTTTAGTATAAATTGATCATTTGAGAACATGGTTTGTTTAATTTTTTGCTTGGTTGAAAAGCTCACATTTTAATTAAAATGCGCCTATTACTGAAACGAATCGACCCCATTGGATCTGACTTTTAAAAATACTTATGGGAAGAGATATTATCGCTGTCATATTTCACGGATAAATAATCCGGGCTTCTATACTCACATATGAATTTAATATGGTTTGAACGGAACGAAGGTATCCTGTTTGCGCGAAATGAACGAATCATTCGTTGCAATGATTATGTGGATTGCAGTTGCAGATTAATTACTATTATTATTTGGGAAAATGCTTGGGTTCGCAGTATTTGTTTCCCGTATTTTCTTCTCATATAAATGTGTGTGTCCGTAGTTCCGTATCATTTATAACTCGATAAAGTGGTGTTATGAACCAGGTCTTATGAGAGATAGAATATGAGAACGAGAGAGAGAGAGAGAGAGAGAGAGAGAGAGAGAGAGAGAGAGAGCGTGCGAATGTACTTGATTATTCTGTTCGCATAGTTGCCATTTATAAATTTTCTTTGAAAATAGCAGATTTCATCGACGCCTCCTTTTCTCCCTCCTGTTCCTCGCTCTCTCGCCGCCTTTCACGCTTTGGTTTTTTATGGATAAAGCACTTTTCTCGTTGTGAATTCCGAACAAAAACAGTGCAATGCACACAAATAACATAGACGCCAAATCGCCTCTGCAAGCAATCTTCAAATACTTGAATCGAGTGCGGCTTTATATCTGTTTTCGCTGAGCATATGACATAGCATGTTGGGGCAGGTTGATGTGCCAACACTTTGCCACTTCTATATTTCCAACCAAAACACACATATTTCCTCATAACTATACGAACAGTGTTTTCGGAAATGGATGCGCGCGGTGCGCGTCACGTGCTCAGCATATTCGAATGGCGAAAATTTCGTTTGTCGCCGAAACGAAGAAAAAGAAATTCATCGGAGTGCACAAGAACAAAGACAAAAGACAAGGTGCTGAAGTGATTTAGACACGGCACATAAAAATGAAACTAAATGAGTTTTATTCGTATGAACATTGCAAAGCACGTCCGCAAAACACACATACACACAGTTTTGACAATGCACACCGTTCGATATCATCATGTTTTCTTTATGTCTGCTTTTTATTTCATCATTACTTTTTCCTGTTGTCGTCTGCTTTTCACATTGACATAGTGTTTTCGATTGAAGGTAAACACTACAGTGCATATGTGCTGGGTGATGAAAGTCCTGAACATAACAATGCTTTGCCAACTAAATGAATAACCCAATAAAATTCGATAATGACCGCCATGAAGAGGAACACACCTTTGATGAAATATTGTGAAAAATCCTTTGATTACTATCGAATATTAGTGAGTGTGCCTCGGGAATGTTTTGCACGACTTCAACATCAATACAAAGAACCAGTCAAACAAAAAGACATCATAACTATAAATGCAAACGCAAAATTGTACATTTTCCACCATAAAAAAGCTCTATTCAGTATCGTTTGGTCTAATTTGAAATGAATACAAACCATGATGAATATCAACGAGAGCAATACCAAGCAATGAAAAGTAGAGATATTTCGCTCAAAATATGAAGTCACACCGAAATGTCCAAAGGACACATACAAAGGGGAAAAAGATGGTTTGAATGGAATTTTTCAGTGGATGCTTCGTTTGGTTTACTCATTTCTACAAAAATTCATCTCTTTTCGTAGATTGTGTCATTTTTCAACCGAAACCAAAACGACATTTGCGAAAATTCGATATGAAAATACCATTAGCAGATGTCATATTTTCCTTTCGAATGCATTTATATTGTCTCAACAGAAAGAAAATTAGATGGGATTAGACGAGCAAACATATATGAATCGGTTTAAATGAGTTGAAGCTCGAATGCTTTTCCATTGTGCAAATATCGATTTGTATTTAGTTAGCAACCCTACAGCTATCCATTCATAGCATCTGATTTCAAATCACTTCAGCGCTTCCTATGAATATGCAGACCGCTGGCACTCATCTGCTCTACAAGTCGACCACACAATCAATTTTGCGAATAAATCATTATAAATTTACCCCAAAGTTAATCTATCACATGGCATTGCATGGTATAGAATACAACTTTCTGATTGCATCGTATCACTCGTAACTCACACATGTGCTGATTATGGCATCAGACTCAAAATACCGTAGGCTGGTCATTAGCGTATCCACATTTACATGTGCTTCTTCGAGCGCAAACAAACAATTCTATCGATTATCGAGCCAATCAAGTTTACTGAAGGTGGAAGCATAGTTCAAAGAGATTTCGTTACAACAGAAGAAAATCACGTGGTGTGTATAACATGATTTGTGTTTATCTAGGTTCGACTGGAGCCAGAGGTGTATCGGTACCAAACGGGGTCCACACATCCAAGATTCATCATTTTTGCCCCCATTTATCTGCTTTCATGTACTCGATTCCAACTTTAACATTTTTCTCTGTCTCTTCGGATTGATTAAAACATGCATGGTAAACCAAAGCAAATGCCGCAGAATTCCAATGAAGATTTATTGAATGTCGTTACATTGACATATTCATTACGGAATATGCTTCCTAACTACGTATGTATGACTAATGACTGATTTGTGTTCAGTCAACTTGAAGCGAACGAGACGATACAAAAAACAACAATAATTTACTTAGACGACACAAAAAACCCGCGATTGGCTATTTGTCTTATAAATT